ATAGAATCTGGCCATGAATGCAGAACTGCTCTTGCTGGTTATACATGACATCATGCAGCAGCTTGGCAGTTGTGATGCTGGGCAGAATTGCCTCATAAATGCGATCTGCAAATTGCTGGACTGATTGCGGACTAGCGAGGAGTCAAATATCACCATGTGCTAACAGCAAGTGTAGACTGCACATCAGACTCATTAATAGAGAGAACTGAATTTCTCAGGACAACAGACATCATGAAACAACTGGATTTGAGCCTGATGCTGTTACCATTGATCTACCAAGCCAAACAGGGAACGCTGCTGCATCAGAGGGAAAAAATCTCAGGCGTGCAATTACACAGGGCCTTAGTGAAAATCAAAAGCTTCATTGACACAAAATTCAGGACAGTTTGATTAAAAGGTACAGTTCAATTAATTTTCTGCTAGTATCCTTGAACATGTTGCAAAAAGCTTAGTAAAAGCTTAAAAAAAAAAGACAAAAAGACTCGAGACTGCTTCTAACCAGGCAGCTAATCAAGAAAAACAAGCAAAGCTTTGCGTTATGAAAGATAAATGGTGGGCACGAAAGGCAGAGGAGTTTTTCTAAGTTGTGGATCCAGAAAATACAATGTGGCCTTGGAAGCAGCATCTGGCCTTGGAAACAGCATCTGGCCTTAAAGACACTGTGCCATTTCTAAAGTGAAGATGGACTAATAATGATGGCATTGATGGAAAAGAAATCTGAGATGGCGGGCCAAAACTTTTCAGTTGTCCTAAATGCTGAAGTCCTAGATGAAGCTGTACAGCTACTTGGCCAGGAGCAGGACACGGAACCCCCTAATAAAATAGAGATTTTTTCCAGCCGTCTAGTAGATGGCACACAGTGCAGTCAGCTGTACGCAAATTCACTAAAATATAAAACCATGGGATAAGAGTCACAAGTAGCCAAAAGAATTTTGCAGCTTTTTGGCTTTGTAGAGAACTATTCCTTGAGATGTTAGAGGATTGAAAAGCTGTCCACTTTTACGAGGGAAGGGAGATGATATGTCTTCTGAAAATCGTTCTAATTCTCTCAAGTCCTGGAAAATGCTTTACAGGAAAAATGGGCAATTTTTGCTATAGATTCTTTCAGTCAGTCTGGTTAAAGGAAGATGTCATCCTGTTTTGATAGAGAGGTCAGTAAGTTAGTCATCCTTAAACCCTGTAACTTTTTTTTTTAACACTCAACATTTTTGAAAATACATGTATGAAATGGTACATAGTTTTAATGTCTGAAGAATGTTCTCACTTGTTCCTGTATTTACATTTAGAAAGTGTTTCACTGATCTCAGCAAAAGGTGATTTTTAGTAGGAATTTAATACAGTAAATGGTTCAAGTTAATTCAAAGCATGTGGTATTTCAGATCCCAGCAGGAGTCCTCTGTATAGAGGCTGCTGTCAAATTCCAGTAGACTAAAAGAATAAAGGAAAAAGTACCAAAAGAACGAGGGACCATGGTAGAAGATTTTAGGCTAAAACTGGTATTTTAAATGCTTGTTTGTTCATTTTTATAGAGTACTTTGTCAAGTTGTATGGTTTTATATAAAACAGTGAAGTGCTCTACAGCAGCTTTGCTGTTTAAAATTGAACTGAGGGCATGGCATTATCTGGAAAAGCAAAGAACAGGATGTAGAATGAGAGAAGGTTGTGGGCTTTGGAAAGAAGAGTGAAAGTGATTCTTCAGATTTTAGGGGTAAAATTATCACACACTTCTGAAGAATTTGTGGGAGTTGGAAAAATTTCTAACAGTAGACCTTTTAATTTCTTCAGTAATTAAAAGACAGCAAGATAGAAAACACTCGGGAAGATAGAGCTGTCAGGCAAGATCCATATATTGCAGGCTTAGCTATTATGTTCAAAAGTGTCATGCTGATATCTTAATTCCATTACCTCTGGTGTATTTTAATTGCTGAGACTAGCAACAAAAAAAGAAGGAAGGTGTTTTTGTTTTGGTTTTTTTTTCCCCACCTCCTTGTGAAATGGTTAGGGAAAGAGAACAGTTAGCCTTCAGGATTTGTCTTTGCATCCAACACCACCTTTTAACCTGCTAAACACACGATGATTGCAAATATTGATCAGGAAGCTACAAGTTTTACATGTCCTGCTCTGGAAGTTACAATTTCATAAACATTTAGTTCCTCTGAAGTAATAGGAAAATATTGTTAAAAGCAGTTTCAAAATAAACCCCTGCCTCACACAGCCTGCTTTTGTTGACGTGACAATAATGCGTATTTTACAGGCAGGGTTGTGAAAAATCCACTTGTACACGTTAAGGCTTTCTGGAAAGGATTCAAATGGTAATAACAATTGTTTTCTCACGTATTTTTTTAGTTGCTTAATGTGTACACTATTCTGTCTTTAAATTTCAGTTTGACCTCAGGATTTGCACAGCGTACGGTGCGATGCCTGCAGCTTGCGACATGGGAAGCAGGTTGTTTTGTGATCGGCTTGGAGCGGTGGCCTCCTGCTGCAGTCCACGAGGTTGCATTCAGTTACCTGTGATGAAGAGCTGACACGTTGTTGTCTTTTTTTTTTTTTTCCTGCATCTGTGTACCAAAACAAAATGCAAAATTGTGCAATAGCCAACCAGAAAAGGGGAGAAAGCAGAAATAAAATTTTAGATTTAGTGATCAAAATGGCTTAGCTAAGTGTTGAGATCATTTTATGCTTAAAAAGAGGAAATTGGCTGGTGAGCTGTTAATTTGGAACAAACATTGTGATAGATTGATCTAATGCTAGAATACATATAGAAGTATGTAGCGATGTGACCATACATATGCTCTAAACTGAAATCTAAATATTGTTCATTTGTTTTGAAGCACGATTGTCCTAGAAAGCACAATACTTTTATTTTTTTGACTGAAATGGAGAAGCCTGCTGTTGAAGTGCATGTGGATATTCTTGGTAGTATGGTTGTAGCATGACTGTTAGCACTGAAATAGCTGTTTGCCGTCATTTAAATCTGTGGTTTTCCTGAGTCTTGGCTTCCTCCAGGAGCTTGCGGGTGGGTTCCTTCAGTGCTGCGACCCTGACTGTGTGACAGATGGTGCAAGGAACTTACTGTTGTCCTGTCGCTGCTGAAGGGACTGTTCCTCTGACCTTGGAACAAGAGTTTTGCAATCCTACCTGGAATTGCGGAAGTCAAAGGTGGAAGTTAAATGCTTTTGGTGTTACCTGGGCTGGCATTCATTGTGACATTAATAAATCAATTCACTGAAACAAATTTCAGCGATGGGAATGATCAAAAATCGCAAAATTCAGAGACATGAATCAGTAGCTCTTACTACTACTGGTTAGGTTTTATATTTTGTCTCTATAGAAGACTGCATGTATCTTACTTCATAACAGCTCCGTACTCATGCGGACACTTACCTCTATACCTAACTTTAAGCCCATAAATTGTTTACAGTACAACTACCCCAGTGTTCGAAAGCCTTAATGTGTGTATTTAATATTTGGAAGATTAGTGTTTGCATTTCAAAGTTAGCACCATCACTTAGAGTTTCTTGACTCTGCTTATATCCTGATCATCAGTGCTGCAGTAGTAATTGCTTCAATGCCTGATGCAGCAGGTGGGTGTTGCAACGTGCAGTACATGTGCAGTCAGGGCTGCAAGGAAAACAAAATATGAAGGGAGGAGGGGGAAGGAACCTTACAGCAAGTGTCTCCATAGATGTGTGGTTGTAAAACTTACTAGATCTGGGGAAAAAAAAAACCAAACCCCCAAAATGCTGACAGCATTTGTAAATTTACAAATTTACTTGTAAATTTCTAGTTTTGCTCTAACTGTAGCAAGTCTTATAAGAAAGAAAAAAAAAATCACATCAAAAAGCTTTTAAGTAAAATGTTAAGTATTTAAGTTGAAAACCCACCAATAAACAAGATTTATCAGGGTACTAAGGAAGCAACTATAAAATAAAGGAAAAATAAATGTTATTTCTTTGTGCTTGGATATCGTACAAATCATCAGATAGGTACTTTCAGATTGTTCCCAAGATTTTACCAGCATAAAAAATGAATACAAGGCTTTTCTGCATGAAGTGTGTGGTTAGTGGAGGATTTTATGCTGTTGGAGCAGTAGCATTTGGGGCCTGCTTTTGCAGTCCTTGTTGCTACAAATGAGGCTGTTAGAATTCGTAACAGCTGGGGGAATGCGTAAAGATCCTATGACCAGACTTTGATACAGTGCTGTTGTACTTCAACCAGAGATACTTTTGAACACATAGAGGAATATAACATCAAATATTTATTCTTTTTTAATGCATCCATCACTAGGTGATTTAAACATACTAGTGTAGTAACTTCTATGTAAGTTCTTTAAATAAATTTAAATATTGTTTATTCTGAACTCACTTCAAGTTATATTCTAGTCCTTGCTCTGGGTGTTGTTTGCACATTTTGAAGTAAGCAGTTGCTAGGAGAAAAAGTATATATGTAATCTAGAGCACATCCTTCCAGATAAATACTTTAAACAGAAGCAGATGTATAGTATCTGGCAAATATCACTATCAAAAAGGCTTTTATAGAGTGATGGATGCATGGTTGATTTGGAAGGCATTTTGACAGCTACAGTCTTCAATAGGGATGCTTGAATTTCACCTGCAAACCACACTAATCGCAGAAATATCTTGAATTCTGGAGCAGAAAGGCAGATAGGGTTTGCCTTTTAATTTGCTCAGTCCTATGGGCCTGGCACATTATTGCTGTGCGATTTACAGTTTTCTCGATCTGCTTCAATGAATATATTTCTCAATTTAGTTAAAGAAGTACCATGCAGTAGTGTGGTTAATAGTTGTTCATGAAGTTAATACTCCACATAACAGCTTCTTACAGTGAAAGAAATCCTATTTTGATTCAACTCACTTTTGATATTCAGTCATGCCTTTCTGGGATCTCCCTGTGCAATCAGTTTAGAGTTTGTTATTGCTGTCTGACCTTTAGGTACCTTCATTTTTAACTTCCTTTTCATTTTCCTCTGTTTCCAGGAAATTGAAGACCACGTGGCATTTGTAATAACTGTTCCAACGGCCCTAGCAATTTTTTTCGCTATATTTATCCTTGTCTGCGTAGAACCTGTATTTAAGAAGCTGCTTCGTGTATTTTCTCTGGTGGTCTGGGTATGTCTTGTTGCCATGGGATATCTCTTCATGTGTTTTGGAGGAATCATCTGTCCCTGGGACCAGGTAAGACTGTCACTAATTTTACTTCCACTGGGTACATTTCCAAGAACCGTTCTACGCAAAAGCATTCACATTCATTTTTGTGGGACATCTCATAGAATCTTTTTGTGACTAAGTGTTTGCGTACTGAGACTCCATGCATCTATTTTATAAATACCAAAGTGATGTGCATACTTAGGATATGGAAACATTTGAAGGATTTTGCTTTTATATTTTTAAGGTGCTTTGCATAATGAACATTTGATTCCAGTCACCAACTTATTTGTAGAGTGAATATTTGATTCTAGTGACCAATTAGCATGGCAGAAATGCTAGTTTTGTTCAAGACCACTGATTTAAGCTTCTTCAGCTTAAAATGTTTGAGCTCTGAGTGCAGGCTTTCTGTGGTCTTCAAGATGCTCTCTAGTAACGCATGAGAAAAAAGACGGTGAGTTCCCGTATATTTCTAGGGAAATGAATGAGTGGGGAAGCAGGGAAGTACCCTTCACATTTTTTAAATTGCATCTTAATAGCAGCACTTTTAAAATATCAATAAATGATGTGCAATAGCCAACGCTGTGCCTGATCGATTCTTCCATGTTCTGCTGTATCCTTTTCCTTTTCCCAAGCCTCTCTACGTGGGGATACTCCTGATACAATAATTGTAAAATTCTTCAAAGGATGAAAAAAGCTTTTAAATACATAAATATGTCTTTTGTAAATTTCATGCTGATTCCATGAGTTTGGTATAACCTTTAAACGGTAGTACTGTATCCAGGGTGCCTTCAAGATAGATCTTCAAGATAGACTTGAAACAAATTCTCTGACTTGTTATTCAGATCTTGCAGTGACTTATGCAAATACTGAACTTTAAGTATGCAAGTAGTTCCTTTAAAATCTTTAATTCAAATGATTTAAATTACTGGTATATGTTGGTAATATTAGTTTTGGAGCCCTTACCTTTGTGGGTGACTTTTATTTTCGTTTTCTTGGAAGGTTCAGGGATTAATTGTCTTATGAAACTGCCTTCCTGGTGTGGGGGTTTTTTTGGATTTTTTTTTTTTTCTTAAGTATTTGAAACGACCAAACCAGGCCACTCTTGCATGTAATAAAAGGCAAATCAGAATGTGTAATATTTTTCTCTAGATACGGATTTCACCATGGGAGTCCCTGTATCTTTGTGATATCAAGTCTAGATAATTGACTTGGCCTTGCTTTTTTGATTTATTTATTTTCATTGCCAGTTGTGGGATGGCACGCTAGAATATTTCAGGCTTTCAAGCCTAGACGAAAATATTTAATTAGCCGATTATTTGTCCACTGCAAGTTCTACTGAGTTTAATTGTGTCCTTTGAAAGATAACGATAATGATTTTCAGAAGCATGTGGCACAGAAGAGATCTACGAGGGATGCTGGCGCCTCGGTCTGGGGGTTCTATTTAGCATGTGAAGATGGTTTGTCCTGCCCTGCTTTCCCCTCAGGAAAGATGTAGCGGTTCCCGCAGTGTCGGAGGGACGTGGCGGGCCGTGCGAGGCAGGAGGGGCTGTGGAGCTCTGGGGAAGGGCACAGTATTCCCTTGCCAGGACACAAGTCCTCTGACGTTTCAGTCCGTTCCTCGCTTCGCCTGCAAGTCTTGCTTGGAGAAGAGGACATCTGGGAAGGAGCTGCCTTGATGTCTCCGCCAGCACAGGCGGAGGCCGTGCCCAGTGCTGCGCCGGATCCGGCCCAGAGCAGGCAGGGCTTTTCCAGAAAGCCTGGAGCTGGCCGTGGATACGTGGCTTGACCCCACCATGCTGGTGTCTTCGGCGTCTGGTGGGAGAGGGCCGGGCTGGCCCCTGGCCGCTGCGAGGAGTTGGAGGTCGGGTGGCTCCCTGCAGTGGGACCCTTCGCTTCCCCAAAACCATTCCCTCCTCCTCCGGCTCCCCCCTTGAATAGCAGTGCTGTTTTGTCGATCACTTTTGTAGGTATACTTTAGCCTAGTGTCAGTTAAGAGTAAACTACAGAACTACGGGAATCTTTCTGGGAATTTGACACCTTAAACAATAGACTAATTGCAGGTTTGATGTCTTTGAATGCTTGTAAAATAGCCGTGAGCGGTTAAAATACTGCCAGGTATTCCTCCGATGCTCGTGTTTTGATTGCTGTGCATCAGGAATACGTAGGTCAATAATCGATGTTCTCTCCTCTAATTATACATGAAAGCAAATCTGAACAATCTTTCCTCGGTGATCACTGACAGTTTCTTTGTTGAAGTTTTATGTTTGGTGAATTTTAAAGCCATTTTGCTTGGCTTATTGGGGTGTTTTTGTTGTTCCTTTATGCTTTTTATGAAAGAAGAGAAACATGATGTAAAATTTAAATTAGTTCTGTTTCAAATACGTCTTTGTCAACAGATCAAATTAGAAAATTATGAAAATTTTAAAAAGAGCCAGTTCATGCACACTTACTTACTAAACAAGTGCTTTATTTTATTTTTCTTCAAATTACAGCCTAACTTCTGTTCTGGTCCAACAGAGTTTAAAAATAACTCTTTTTCATCATCTTTCGTGTATCCTGAATCCTAAGCTTGTTAAGAAGATGTGTGTGTGTGTGTGTGAGAAACCTGTGGGCTGATGTGAAATAAGTGCAAATCGTAATTGGTTTCAGCTATCTTTTTGCCGTCCCTGCAGACTGCTTTTATCTGTCTGCATGTCCTTGCCTCTCGTTGGACTGCAGCTCCAGCTTTGGAGGGAAGCTATCATCAGGCAGGCGTCTGGCCGCTGTTTGAGGGGGAAGGCAGGGCAGCTGTAGTCGCTTACTCCGTCCCTTGGGCCGGTCTGCAAGGCTCCGTAATTGCCTGCTGAGCCTGATCCGAAGGCATTAATTGTCACTCGGCTGTGCAGGCATAGTCACAAACCCACCTACGAGAGGAGCCGGGCTATTTGCGCTGTCGAGCGTACCGACTACCTTACCTCTTAAGTTAGCCCCAGCTCCCTTACTCCTCGGTGCGGACGACGAGGAGCAGCAAGAGCGCTGAGAGGGAGATGGAGGGTGCCTTGGTGAGGCAGTGGGTGTCTCGACACGAAACAACCGAGGAGAGTGATGGCAGATGTCTTTTGGTACCTGACAGACCTCCTGAAAGAAGCGTGGTGGCCCTCTCTGGTCGGTGCCAGCCCAGGTTTCTGTTGGCGCCAGCCGTGGCGGAGGAGCCCCCGGTTTCCCTGGGGCGCGGTGGTGGGACCTGCGCTGGCCGGGCTCCAGCCTGGGAGGGAGCCTGGGCTCTCTGGGAGGAGTTGAGGGACAGCGGGCCGGCACCGGCAGGGAAGACGGAGAGCAGAGGGGGTCGCGCGGAGGCTGGGAGAGAGCCGTGGCGGGCTGGCAGTTCTTCCCAAACCTAAGGTGTGAGCAGTAATGCGTGGAGGTGGTGTCAGTGAGGACAGGCCCAAGGACGATGCGTGGAGGTGGGTGGACGGTGTGTTTGGTGGAGGGCCGGTGATGCGAGGCAGGCAGGCTGAGAAAGCAGGGCGGGTAGAAGAAGGCGATGCGTTGGTTTTGTCATGTTAGGACTTTTCCCTGCTGTAGGAAGGAGCACCTTTCCTTACGAAACGTAAATCCAGTACCTCTCTCTAGAGCTACCTGCCAGGGAATGAATTTAAATTGGTTGCCTCTTGTTTCACTGACAGTGTAGTTATTGTACAACAGTCGCCTTTCCATGTCATCCTCTGACATGTCTAATATTTCCTCAGCCTTTTATACAGGGTGTGTGTAAATATGTCATAGCACATTGATATCGGTGGGTAAAAAGAGCTCTTAAAGCATACAGTGGATGATATAAAAAAAAGAGTAATTATACAGCATTATACTAGTCTAATGAATTCTATCATTGCTGGATTTTGGTATTCAATTCTACTTAATTATAAATACGTTTGCACAGCCCAGGCACCAGATGTGTTCCTCCTTGTCTATATTCAGTTACAGCACAGAAATTACTTCAAGCAGGATTTGACGCTTCTGGTTTCTGAAAAAGAATTATCCACAGAGTGATGTGTTTAGAATATATGTTTGGCTATTTTAGCCTAAATGCTACTTTTTGAGCTGAATCTAAAGCACTTTTTTGTTTAATGTGTTGGTATGGAATTGTTCAATTCAGGCCTTGGAGCAGCCCTGGTTTACGAAGTGCGAGCAAAATTTTCTGTATTAGTATTTATATTTCTCATTTTTTTGATACTCTCTTGGCACCTGAGGATGTCGGTCTATCGTGTGCTGAGGGGTGAGGGCCCACACAGCGTTTCTGCAGTTGTGGCAGTTAGCTCCTCTATTAGGCAATGGGGCGAGCTGATGGGTCCGCAGAAATGGAAGTATTTTCTTGGTACAGAATTACATCGGGTTCAATTTCTGCCCCTTGCTTGGGACCTGCCTTATCTAAAGTCAGCCCTGCCGTACGTGATTAATAATGTGTTGTGTGGTCAAGCAGCACAAAAAAAGGAATTGGACGCTTGTGAAGGAGAACAGGGCAGGTGTCAGTGAAGTCCCTGCAGCGTGGGAAAGCGAGGATGAGTTGCTGTCAGCTGCACCGCCAGCTCAGGATCTGGAGCACGGGGGAGACTTGACATTTTTTCAAGTTCAAGATTCATCAGACTATCAGGAGTGAGTATCCTGAGCAAGGAGCTAAATCTTGTAGGAGCATGGTTCGGTACCTTGTAGGCGAATAGTCACCTGAAAAAGCATAAGGAGAACCAGGAGGCTTGTATGAAAGGGGAAGATGCTGCCCAGCAGATGACACTGTGCTTTAGGTGTAGGTGTGATAGAAAAGGAAGAAACCCACAGTCTGCAAGTATAAGCCATATTTGCAGTTATATTCGAGGAAGGAGAGGAACAGATGATTTTTACCTTCATATTCATTTTTTTATAGACATACGAAGTCACAGGCTTAATAGCAAGACATTTAAATGTGTTTATCAAGTCTGGTATGGCTATATCTGTATAGAAGACAGGAAAAATCTGAGCTATTAGAGACCTGCCAGTCATTAAAATTGGTAATATAG